GTGAGGCATCCTCTTCTGAAACCCTCAGCATTGTATAGCTCTCCCTACGGCTTTCATGGCATCCCACCCTAACTGCTGGACCATACCACACATCTCACTACCATGAGCCCATGAAGCAGCAACCCCGCAAACATCTCTGAGACACCCAGAGTGGTCAGCGCCATGTCATGCAAGCATCAGATCCTTTGCAAACGATGTCTATTGGCAAAAGGTTGACCACAGGACAGGAGAGCCTTCCAGAAGAGTCTCCTGGGGGCTCTGGCCAGCCTCACGAACTGCTGAGTGTTTGGGGACCTGCCTTCCCTGCCCAGGGAAAACCCCACCACAACCATGAGGCAGCATGGTTCAGCCTCAGTAAGGACTGTTTTTACGACCCAAGTCGTTAAGCAGGAGCCAACAGCTCCTTGGAGAAGCGTGACACAGGAGAGGGAAGCTGGTTGTCCCTGAGGAGCTGCTCTTCACTCCCTCCAGCTCCAGTTGAGCAAAAAATGTTTTCGTTTCCATTGCATAAGATGCTTCCAATGGTGACAAACCTAACACCACCAACAGGAGGAGATAAAAGCCCTGTGGGTGTGAATGAGGAGCAGAAAGTGGCTGGGTGTCAGTGTAGGACACATGGGCAGGCAAGCGTGGGTGGCAGGATTGGCCAGCCAGCCATATGTGACCCCTCTAACAAGCAACGGAAAGAAAAACAAGGTCTGACCAAAATCAGAGCCAGCACGTTCCACTGGCAGGACGGACCCCTTTGTTACTCACTCTGCAGACGTGGTCTGTGCAGCGCTGCTCCAAGGGGCCCCATCAGGGCAAAACACACAGCTACCTAGGCCAGCCAGGCCCCCTCCACATGACTGCAGTGAGCGGCCAAGAAGAGGAGAGAGGAGGCCAAGGTTTGTAAGCCTCAAGGGGTTATGCGGGTGTGAGAGGCTGGGCATTGAGGTCTGGCCACCAAAAGGAGCATGAACCGAGGCATCAGAAACCCGAGTGGGAGGCCCAGCTCACCCCAGAACTCAGAGAAGTGGCCTGACCTCAGCTCCTAGATTCCTCTCCTGCAAAGTGGGGACAGGGGACAGCAGCTGTCCTGAAGCTCTTATGCATCTGCCTGAGATCCCTCTGAGAGGTCAGACATCAATGGGCTTAGAAAACCACACAGAACCTCACACACGCAGGCTGATGACATCGGGGCGGGGGAGCTGACGCAGGCTGGCTTTGTGAGCATCACCTTTGGCCCAGTAACTCCCCCCGGGGGGAGCTATCACAAGGAAATAATCCTAATTAGAGAAAATAATCTTTATGCACGTGGATATTAGTCACAGTATAATTTATGATGGTAGAAAAAAACAGAAAGCATCTGGGTAGCCAAGAACAGGGAAATGATAAAGTAAACTAAGGTTCATCTACTCAATGGAACCATTCAAAAAATTTTCAAAGACTATGATTATGCAGAAAATGGTGATGAGTAACATGAATTGAAAATGTCATGGTACAGCTTTACTGGTACCATTTCTTTCATTTTTTGAGTTTAAATGAAGGTTCAATTTCATGTTTTGATATGTAAAAAAAGACTCAGAATGCTTTAAACATACAGTATAACTCCTACTTTGGCTAAATTTTTAAAAAGCTATGTGTTGGGAAAATATTAGAAAATAACCAAAGAATTAACAGCGATGATGTTTGTGTAGCTGGAAAGGAATGGCTTTTATCTATTTTAATGTAGCTTTCAGGTGAATCAGTGTTACTTTTAAAGAGAAAGAGAAACACATCTATTTTAAAGGTAGTTTAGGCGCTGAAGGGTGACACTCATGGCACAGGACAGGGAGGAGAAGGAGGGGTTTCGATGCAGAGAAATAACCCGGATTTCTGGGGCAAACACCAGACAGGACCCCCTGAGACATAACTCAGGGGAACACAAGCTTTTCTGACCAGCCTTCCCGGGTGGGACCAAGGGCTTATGACCCACCCACACCCCAGTCTTACTTTCCCTGAGAAAACATAAACAAGATAACCAAAACAGCAAGAATGCAGCAGTTACACAAGAACAAAACCAGCAACAAAACAACAGCAATTTCTATGATTGAAAAAATGAATACAAAAAAGCAGCAATAAACAGCCATGAAAAACTCAAGACAGCACTAACAGTGCCTGAAAACAAGTATCCCGAAAATTGCAGGCATTCCAGAAGATCTGCCCCATAGGAGCTTCGCAAGGCTGCCAAGCGGGTGCGGCAGCCAGACTGCTCAGCAGAAACACCCCACACTCCATGGGGAACTCCAGCACTGTTCGCTTTATTTTACGACTATCAGAGTTTAGTCACTCCTAACAGCTCTCTTCTTAAGAAGCGGACTTTGAGCCGATGTAGAAATGAATCTCTGGCGGTGCATTACTGTTTGCCTAAAGAACCCAAGAAAAGACGCAGCGTTTGGGTCTGCTCCCGGCACATCTCAAACAGCTCCTTCCCCAGCTCCTGACACAGGCCCCTCAGAGCACTGGACCACGCTTGGAGGGACACCAAGGATCTGATCTCCTGCATCGACAGCACAGCTCTGGCCAGAGCCTTTTGTCTGCAGACACTGCCCCTGGGCAAGGCCAGGCTTTCGGGCAGGGCGAAGCGGGAGACGCTGGGGCTCCCTAACACCTGTCATCGGCACGTCACATCTCACTGCTGGTCCTTCCTAACCCTGTGAGGCAGCAGTATCTCCTCTGCCCTGACAATTCCCAAGGAGCTGTGTTTCCCCTCCCTCTGGCTGCCCCAGAGCCAGAGCATAGCCGGGCCTAGAGCTGAGCACACGATGGGCAGACACCTAACAGTTGATGAGAGATGAAAGGGGAATAAGGTCAGGCACGGTCCCCCACATCTGCTGTCCTTCGCCAGTTCTTCTGGCACAGAGTCTCATTCAAGGCCAATCACACACACAGGACAACAGGACTGCTCAAGCCCTTACCGCCCATCTAGTTGAGACATTTCAAAGGAGCTTGTTTAACCTTTTGACCACTAGAATCCTGCTCCAAAGCCTGGGGTGTACAGCGGTCAAGATGGACGACAGGGAGGAGAGTCGGGGCGGGAGAGAGAGGGAGGAGAAGGGTAGACCCCTGCTCCCTCGGCTCCCCAGAACTACAGAAACCCGCAGGGGGATTCCTGTACCCTGGGACTCTTCCGAAGCCAAGCTGAAACAGCTCACTAGATCAGCCCCCTCGGGTTAAGGGGGGGAAACTGAGGCTGAGAGAGACAAAGTGGCTCAGCAAAGGCGCATAAATGGTCAGTGGCAGAGCTGGGACCAGGATCTAGGGGTTCTTGTCCCCTAGAACCCAGGAAAGCGGGAACCACACCTGCCTCAAGTCTGAGTCACTCCCAGCACCTGCACAGGACCTGCCCAGTGAGATCACAGATGCTCCACCTGAGGGGACAAAAATAACTGCTGCTTGGAAAAGCAGGCCTCGACAGACCAGGGTCCGAGTCCCAGCCCCGCCACTTAAAATGGCTGTATACCCGGGACAAGTCACTCAGCTGCTCGGTCAGCTCTCAGCAACCACCTCAGAGGGCCGGTGGGAAGACGCAGAGAGCTGACAGCGGCACCTGGTTTCCGTGAAGGATCACAGATTCTTCTCCCTGTGCCCTTTCGGTGGGCTCATCCCCTCTCTCCTTCAGACCCCTGCTCCGTGAAGCTCCCTGAGCCCTTGCCTTACAGCTAAGAGAACATTCGGAGGCCTGCATGGTGCAGGAACTCACCTTGTGGAGACAAAGTCCCAGCCAAAAGAGTGGGCTAGATCTTCCTGTGGTTTGACAACATGCCAATGGGAAGCCAGCTTCAGCCTCCAGCTCCTGAACTCCTGCTTCACCAGTCCCTTCAAACAGTGGTGCTCCTGACTCCTCTTTTTTTTTTTTTTTTTTTAAAGATTTTATTTTTTCCTTTTTCTCGCCAAAGCCCTCTGGCACATAGTTGTATATTCTTCGTTGTGAGTCTTTCTAGCTGTGGCATGTGACACTGCCTCAGCGTGGTTTGATGGACAGTGCCATGTCCGCGCCCAGGATTCAAACCAACAAAACGCTGGGCCACCTACAGCGGAGCGCACGAACTTAACCACTCGGCCACGGGGCCAGCCCCACTCCTGACCCCTCTTTCACGTCTGCTGGGCCGGAGCAGCAGGCCCCCACCAGATGCCCTGGCTGTCCCCTAGGCTATCGAGTTCTGCCTGCTCTGGAAACTGTGGGGAACTCAACCAGTCATGGTTCAGATAGCTGCTACCCCAAGACCCTGGAACTCCCCACCTCTGCCCTAAAAGGCTCAGGTCATGGTTCACCATGGCCAGAAATTAGGGGGCAATATCTAGGGCTCCAGAATCAATCAAGGACCATCTGGAGGAGAAGAACCCAGAAGCCTGGGGCACCCCACGAATGAGACCCTGTCCCCAAGACTTCTAGACCAAGGATGACCTGCCAGCACTTCCATACAAGGCAGACCTGTCTCAACCAGACGATCACATCTCTTCTGCCTTGGAGGGACCAAAGCCCGGAAAATACTTTAATTGTGCGTCAGAGTTTCAAAAATAGTCCTATTCAGTCATAATCTTCACCTCTCACACCTAGATTTGATATTTTAAAGTCAGACAAATACAGGTTCAAACTAGAAAGAAAAGGATCACAGATTTGGATGGAGGGTCATCTTGTCCAACCTGCCATTTTACAGATGGAAACACTGAGTCCCAGAGACAGGTGTGTACAAGAAGCAGAGTCAGGCCTGGAGCCCAGATGCCAGGGACACCACACTGCACAACTCACACTGTGTCCTTGTGAATGGGCCCAGGAGCTGTGCAACCCAGGGCTCTGCCCTTGAGTCTCTGTGCAGGAAGCTCTGTTATACAAAGGGTGTGCCGGCCCCTTGCCCTCTCCCTCTTGTTTCAGTGGAGCTGTTCTCCCTGATGCAGGGCACTGGCAGAACTGGAGCCAAGGAAATGGACACAAAGGTCAAATAGCAGGGGCTGCTGCCCCTGGCAGTCCAGGTTACCTTTGGGCATGATCTGATGCATGGCGACCGAGAGGAAGAAGATGGAGTCGCTGTAGTAGGTCCCTGAGCCGGCACTGAAGTGCTTCTGCATGGCCTCCACGACGGGGAAGAGCTTGTCCGTCAGCACAGCGACATCGTGGAAGACAACCTGCAGCAGGGTGCGAGGAGACGGCAGGAGTGAGCGAACCGGGTCTGCACACCCAGCACACATGTGGGCTCATGCTGGGGAGACAGACAGTGCCTCTCGGGATCCACGAGCAGGGTCCCAAGTGAGGGTTAAGAAAACAGGGAACAGTTGGAGTCTGCAGAGGCTGGCTGTGGGGACGGGGACGCCGTGTGGGAGGGGTGTGCAGGCATACATGTGGGGGTGCTGAGGAAGAGGAGTGGGAGTGAGGACAGGAATGGGAGAAGTCAGTCTGCCTTCTGCTTCTGAGCTTCAAACTGAGCCTCCTTGAAGGTAGCTCTGTGCCCAGTGGCTGGAAACCATGCTAAAGAGTCTCATCCTGAAATCAGGACCCTCAGCAAGTCTGGGCAGCTGGCACGGGCCCCGGCATGGGTGTTCCTGGTGGCCACTACACGTGTTCCATGGGCTAGTCAGATGCTACACCTCCCTTAACCAACAGGGTGAATAGTAAGAGGGTCTGGCCACTGGAAAACGGGACCCGGGAAATGCCTACTGCCTAAGTAAACTCATCCATCAACTCAACAGCATTTCTTGAGTGTCCCAGACACCCTGGAGACGCTGTGAGGCACCACTTTCCCCAGAACACTTAAGTCTAAAGATGTCACAGCTGCTGAAGAGAGCCCTGCAGTTTATGACACACCCTCACACACACACGCTGATCCCCGTGGCAACCTGGGGCTTCAGGGAGGCAGCCACCACTGTTACAGCTCCAAATTACAACTGAGAGAGCAGATGCTCACAGAGGTTACACCTGCCCGAGGTCACCTAGCTAATAAATGGCAGAGCCAGAACTTGAACCCTGTCTCCAGATTCCACGTCCCAGGCTCTTTCCACTGTAAATGCATCCTCTTTCTCAATAGCAACCAGCAGAGGAGGAAGACATCAGCACGACCAGTGATTACAGTAGACGAGAGAACTAACAGGACCCTAAAGAGCTGGTTTCCTTGTTCGATATTAGTCCAGACTATAAGTCCAGCCCACATGTAGCCCCAGGATATCAAATTACCAGACATTCTGCTCACATAGTCCTGCAACTTTTCCCTGTTTCTCCCTGTGCCCTGCAACATCTAGAACATTCCACCACTCACAAGAGGCACTCAATAAATGCAGCCCAAGCCAGAGCCCAGATGTTCCTCTTCCTCCATCTTCAACCCTCACAAGAGATCTGCTGATGACCCCTTCCACCTCCCTCTTTCCTGGCAGCTGACAGAACGGACAAGCCTGCAAGGCTGCCACACGCTGCACAGCCAGCACAGTAACAACCTCAGGACCAAGAACCTACCTGAACAGGGAGGGTGCCAACAGAGAGGAGAAGCCATGCGGACACCCTGACCAGCTCGGGGACAATGTCAGTGGCCCTGCCAGCAGGAAAAATGACAGGTGTGGGCGGTACCCAAAAAGTTCTCAAGTTGGGTGGCTCCGTTCTCTCTTTTCCTTGCTTTCACTCTGCCCAGTTCCTTCTAGTCTCCTGGTGTCACCCCAGCCTGCACCCCCAGATCCCCTTCGCAGCCCTGCAGGGGCGGTCAAGTGCCCTCTGTCTGCTTTTCCCTTCTTTAGGTTCGGATTTTGGCCAGAAACCTGTTTTTCTCTTACCTCACGAGTGTGTTTGCTTTTGTCTGTGGGTCTACTTAAATTTCTAAAACACTATTAAACGTAGAAAAACTTTTATATTGTGTTAGTGCTCACACTGCCTAACTGTAACTCTTTAAATCTTTCATCTCTTTGTAAAAGTCTTTTTAAAATTTCTTGACATTTCTTTTCTAATGGATTATATTCCTTTACCCTATTTCTGACTGCTTTTCTTCTTTGACGTTTTCTTTTCTGTGACCTGTCACCCTGAGGTGTGGAATCCAGACCAGTTCTGCAGTTTCCCGACACAGATGCTGAATTTCGTCTTTCACCTCCTGCACCCCACATTCTCCCCTCACCCTCTGCCCGCGGCTTCCTGGCTGCACGGGCATCGCAAATTCTGACAGGTTTCCCCACTTCCTGCCTCATCCCCCTCCAAACCAGCTTCTGTTGTGCCTCTCGAGTAATCTTCCCAATTTACAAATTCATTTCTCTCTTTCCTGTGACGGCCCCTCACTGCCCTCGGTTACTGTCCAAACTCCCCAGCAAGGCTTATGAGACCCCACACTAGTGGCTCTGGGTGCCCCTCCTGCCCTCCCTTCCTCCGGGGACCGGGCAGAACTGAACTAGGCAGTCCCCACTCTGTCCGCCACACCTTGGTGTCCTATGTCCTTATATATTTGTATCTGCTCTTTGTGGCACCGTGGGAACCCCGTCTCCCAGCCTCGCCCCTCCCTCCCAGCCCCCATCCGCCTGGTAGATGGACTCTCACTCCAGGCTGTGCACAGCCTCCCACCATTCATCACACTGTCCCATGCACCCTGTATCACGTGGAAGGAGGCTCTGCTTCCCTGTCTGACTCCTCTCCGGGTCTTTGTTTCTAGTCCGCCGGGTGGGGCACTCCTTGAGGCTGGAGGCTGTGACTGCCCTGTGCCCAGCCCCTGGCCACGTGACAGGCATCAGTATAGGTTTGATGAACTAAATGAACTGCACTCTGGGTAAGTTACTAACCCTCCCTGAGCCTCAGTTTCTTCATGGATGTCCAGGAATGATAATGCCTCCCTCTCCTAGTGGCTGTTAGGACTCCTCAGGACAAGCAGACAAAGCACCTAACATGGAATGGCCACACTGCACTTACTCCTAAGTGTTAGCATCCACACTCAGGCCCCTGCCCCCCACTCCATCTCCCTCCTCAGACCCCTGAATCCCCTCTCCTCACAGATCAGTCTTCACTCAGGAGGCAGCCTTTCTCTCTGAGCCTCATTACACATCCCAACCACTGCCAGAAGCTGGAATTTGACAAGAAACTGGAAGCTGACAAGAGGGCTCTCTCAGAAATGGAAGGCTCTATAATCATTAAAAAGATAGGGAATGGATATGTACAACCCAACACACACACACACACACACACACACACAGAGCAGGGCCTGCCCCAGCAGCCAGCTTCTCCCCCTCCCGGGTCCCCACCCCACCCCAAAGCTTCACAGGAGACAATTACATCCCATCAGCATTGATAGATTTATGAGGACAAACTGTACTGAGTACGTTGTTCCAAATGCAGTACGGTGAAGCCTGCTGCAATGAATATTTCATATAATAAATCTCCTAAAAGATAAATTAATATGTTCCATGGAGTACACTTTATGCAGCAAGAAGCAAACCACAGACACTGCAAGTGTGATCAAAACATCCAGGCCTCCCCATGTCTACAACCATTTCGCACCCTGTGGTCTCCGAGGGCAGGGTCGGGGTCTGGCAGGTTCTGAAGCCCCCAGCCCAGGGTCAGTGCCAGGCAGGAGGCAGTGAAGCAAGAGTGATGGAAAGAGAGGGAAATGGTCAGAGAAAATGCCACCCCTCCCTCTGTTCTTCCTCCTTTTCACATTCCCCACCTCGGGGGCTGCAGGAAGAATTATCATAGAATCTAGAAAACCAGGAATATAATACAAGGCGACTCTCATATTGAAGGCAGGTGGTCAACAAGAAGATCCAAAACAATGGCTTATCCCAACTTGACTACATGATTTTTAGGGATGTCAATTAAAAAGTCAAATCACTGTTTGTAACTTTTATTAATTAATTTATATACATATTTAAAATTAAACATTTTATTATTAAATACTATTTTCCCCTACCCACCTTAAAAAATGATTTCTTTTTCAAACCCTTCATGTGCAGCCTCAATGTTAATGCCTTTATCAACCCGAGTCAAGCTGAGTCACGCACAGCAGTTTTCCAGAACACATCATCCATTTGAGATGTTCTGGACACGGCTCCTTGTGAATTTATATAGGATGTTGTTATTGGAAATGGTATCCCAACCCCCAAAACCCATGTTCATATCATTAAGGCAGTTGGTTTTTCCATCAGCCTATAATCATGAGCCATTTAGTGTCTTCCTTTTATTAGTGATCTTTAAAAGGCTTTCTTACATCAACACTCCGGGGACAGTCTCCTAGCTCTGGAATAGCGCTTATAATTCCTGGAACTTGCTTATAATTATGAGATCAAAACCCCAGAGATAATGGCTAAATCTGTGTTAAATTTCTTTGCCTCCTTTTATTTTTAATGAATCCTGTCAAGTAACTTCCAGAAACACCCCAATTCAGTAATGACTGAGGTTGTTCCAGGCTAAGGTGTTCTCACGCTGTACTTTGTTATTCAAAATACAGCATGTCACTGAGAGAGCACTGTGTAATACAAGAGATTTTGGGCGAGGGGAGAGGGGAAGCTTGTCTCGTATCCACCATGCACAGCACATTCGCAACACTTCCAAAATGGGGAGGCCAAAGCAACCAGAACAGCAGGGCCTGGTGCCAGGCAGGACAGACATCTTTGCCAGCCTGGCCCTGGGCTCGTTGGCACAGACAGGCCTGAAGAGCCAGACCACTGCTCCACTGGGGACATAAAGCCATGCCAAGCCTTAGTCCAGCTTGGTGGAGAAAACTCATTTACCACTTGGCATACCCCACTGGAGTCAGGTCACGCCATGCTCTTGGAGCCAAGAAGGGAGGTGGCGGGGACCAGCCCTGTGCACAGGGAGATGCCAGGTTTCCAGGAAACACCCAGGCCTGCTTGAGGAACAGCAGCTCCTCCCGCCACCAATAGCAGTGCCGCAGGAGGGTGACGTCCCCTCCCCACGCTCAGCCAGAGACTGTCCCTGGAAGAGCTGTTGGAAAGAAGAGTGACAGCACAAAGCTCTGGGAAACCTATCCATATCTAACACTCCAGGCGCACCCCGCCATATGCTGGAATCCTTGTACTGCGGGAACACCAAATGGGGTTCCACCTGCCCCGAGGGGCCGCCCGGAGCACCGGGTAGGAAGGCTTCTGCAGCAACACCAGGACTCGGCAAAAGAGCATCAACAGTAATGTCCGCCAGGGGGCTGGCAAACTCC